TCACCGGCTCCAGAAGACGAGCCAACCATTGGGCTACCACACGGGGGGGGGGAGTTGCACATGTCCAAGATTAGCCTGAGGGGAACTCTACTCTTATGGCCCGATTGCCGACAAGTGACCTGTCATGAAACGTCGGAGCAAGTGATAATTGGGGATCAATTATGAAACAAACTCTTGAATACTTTAATTGCTTTCCCTCTCCGTTTTCCTTGCAAATTCTTCTCTGATACTAGTCATATTTATTGTGTTGTAATGGCATGATTAAAACACACTGAAAACGAGCTTGTTTGCCAATTTGTGTTCTCATTATGAGCTCCGTGGGACTGTTTAAATATCTTTTCTGCTCGTTCGATGGCGTAACAGTTTTGAATTTGTCGTCCGTCGCTTTCTTAAGCCACACCGGGATGTGTTCCGTCATTCGGTGACGTAACTGCCTCTCTGTCCTGCCTATGTAGATGGGTGATCATCCGCAGTTGGATTGGAAAATACAGTTTAATTTGGCAGAGGGAGGCAATGGTTCTTTCACCGATTTCGATGGTATCCGGGTGGTGGTGAAGACAATGGCTGGGTCAACTGCGTAGTAGATAAGTTTGACGGCCGAGTTCAACCGCTTGCTGACTAATTCAATCACATCATCCCCTTTGTATGATAACTTCATAAAAGCTTTCATTTTGGGAGCAGTTATTGGTTTTTCTACTTTTGGTGTTGCTTCGCAATGTTTGGAGATGAATGCAAATGGATATCCGTTTGCATACAGAACTTTTTTCGTCATTTAAAGAGTCCTCTGGGCACATTTCACGTGCTCGATGAAATAGTGTGTGCGAACTTAGATACTGTTCGTGTATATTTCCACATGAGTCGATAGGCAACTGGATGCAGTAATTAGTGGTTTGCACCTCCCCGGATCACATTGTGTGCATAGGAACCCGATGACACCCATGAGGAACTGATGACCTGTAGGCGTTCATGTGTTCTTGTTTCTGCTATGTGCATCAGTTAGTCGGTGCTGCATGGATCTTCACACGGAGTTTGTCGATCTGTCCATAATTTCCCAGGAGACAACTTTCGAAGTTACATACCTTGTACCTTCTGTGATATGATCTCATAGTCGAAGTCTCGTGCTATTCTCTCATCTTCTTAATAAGGATCAGGGAATTTACCAAGCCCCTCTGCGGTATTTTGTTGTTATCTTAATCCACTGTAATTGTTTGGTCTCATTTCAATCTGTTTATATTGTTGTTGCTTTGATAACACGCTTATTCTCAAGCCGGTGATATATATATATATATATATATATATATATATTGTGGACATAATACCGGCACCATATAAATTTAAAACGGCCCAGACATATTGATCTAGACAGTGACTGTTGTGGGCACACCATTCTGGATCGATTGTGAAGAAACGTCGACATTAAAATCGAAAGTTGTCAGAACTGTCACATGTTTCGTATGTCGATCGTTAAACATAGTCGTTCTACTCATAACTTGTATATAGAAAAATAGGCACTTTGCTGAAGTTCTGATTTAGTATCTAACATTGAAAAAACTTAGTCTGCATTTTGTGGTTTTACTTTATTCTGTGATATATTACGGAATAAAAAGAAGTTCGAATGAAATTACCACCACTAACTGCCTTTAAAGAGTCTCTTAGTAATTAGTCGATTTTACATGATCAACAACCATGTGTATCAAAGCTGAAACCTGAGTTTTATTGCATTGTTTCATCTGAGTTTACTACTGCTTTCACTGTTCCCCGGAGTTAACTTACCTCATATTCCCACTAAACTTTGTTTTGGACAAGCCGGCTAAAAGTTGCCCATTTTCACATCCGGACATCCACTCGAAAAGCGCGGATTTAGTCCATGCCGTTCAACTGTCCATCAACATCAGTGTGTGTTGAGTATTACCTTGAATAATAGCGGATAGTGATTCTGCATTTATAGTGTTATCTGGTGTGAATTCGTTGTTGTACCGCTTCACAGATAGGAATAAATCCTTGAATGGAGAGCTAAGTTGAAATTGTTGTTTTTGATACTGTATCCGAAATACTCACCACATACACCCTCCATTTGGAGGACTTATTCAGGCAAAACAGCCTCCAAAACAAAATTATACTAATTTTAGATCTGGTCGCGGTTGTATCGTTCCCATCTTCGCTCTTCCGGTAAGACATGAAAACACCTTTCGGAAACCAACTATGCCAAGCTTTAGCAGGACAATAGACTGCCTGCAGACAAAGCCTATGTTTGTGGGGTCACATAATTTAAAGCCGTCATTAATATGATTTTACCTTCGAACCCTCATATTGCCATCCAAGTCTTATTATCGGTATCTATGCTGTTGTTGTCCTTGATACCACGTCCATCTCATTGAAGTTTTATGTAATCCACTTCCTCAAGACCCAAGACACTAAAGTGTTTGATCTATAGAAACCCCTTTCTTGCCCATCATATGTTAAATAATGGTGTCTGATCGTGGAGGTGTTTATGACTCTATAATCAGCTTTCAAACTGCTCATACATTGCAGCATATTCCACGAACTCTCTGGGATCCTGGGTGGGTTCTTCTTGGTTTTTCTTTTTTGTTTGGTATGGGGGGAACTGGCCAGTGATCAATATTTATGGATAGTCTGGAGATTTAATCATTATCCACAGAAGATTGTTAAAAGATCGTTTGTATTAGCCCGCTAACGTACCACTGAACGCGCCTGACAGCAATCAAATAGACGAATTCACGGTTTGTTTTAAAGTATGAGAATCTGTGTGAGTTCCATGTACACCAGAGGCAAATTTTCTTCCCCCAACGAATTTGTACGGGTTTAAAACTACAGCTAGGAATTGTACAAACCCTGTTTGGTTTCATTCAAAATTCCTCACTGTATCATGCGAACCTGAATACGAAACCCGAATTCAGGTAGATCTCGTGTAACATGTTTTGACGATTGTGATTTTGAGAGCCCTAATTCGATCGTCGGTGCGAATTTATACATCGTCCCCATTTATTGATTTTGAAATCTTTTAATTTCTGTTGTTTCTTTGTTACAATCAAGTAAACTTGACTTTTGGATAGAATGCATTTAGCAAGCAATTGCGGTTAACAAACATGAGGAGAGGAACACGTTAGATGAAATTCAGCTGCCATAAGACGTCATTTGTACACCGGTTGATTTTTCATTCAAATGTGACCTAATCGTTACCATCTATTTATTTGTTTTCAGCGTTACGTCATTCAGTCTCCACTCGCCTATCCTTCACGTCGAGCAGAACATGAAACACATCGGGGTTTCATGCGACGACAACAAATCACACAAACTGTACTGCTCAATCAAGTACACAAATCCATCTCATTGGAAGATAGTCGAGAATGGTATATGCGAGAGGTGAAAGAACAACAGTCTCGGGGCGAACTGTTTCAAGATCCATTCATGCCAGCCGTGGACAGCACAATAAGGAAAACGCTCTCACCACATGCCAGACAATATGAATGGCTTCGACCACATGTAAGTGCATTTCTTCGGGCTTTTATTGTTTCGGAATTAGGAAAGGAAAAGAAAATGCCGATTCACTGGTTTAATTTGCGAATACCGTTGGCGTTATATTTTTAAAGAGTTTTATTTCAGGGTTTGTTTGTTTACGCCTCATTAATGCTTTCAAGAGATTGACTGACAAAATATCGAAAGTTTCAACATTTTATAT